CAGATTATCAGTAAACATTACAATACTTCCATAAGCAGAATATCATTTTTTTTTATCAAGTCTTAAGGTTTTTAAGCAATTTTTTTCTCATGCATTTTTTTATTTTTGCATATTGCTTATCCAACATGCAAAGTAATTTTGATTTTAAGATTAAAAATACTTTTATGCATAAGAAAATTTTCAAATTTCACGTGCGAAATCTATATAATGTCCATATAATTATAAAATGTTTCTTAAGAAAAACTTTATATTTTATCTCTATACGGGTTCGGTAGATTTGACCGATCTTGCAACCACCATAAAAAAGTAAGAAATAAATATAAATTATGCCTCTTTCATTCTAGAATGAACACAGATTATAACATGAAAACATAAGTGTTTAGACTAAATAGCTTAAATCTCATTACATAATGAATTTATATATATATATATATTATTTTTATTTCATTGACCTTTCAGCCATGCCTGACTAACAATACAGAAGTTACAATGACATAGCTCACATGCACTAATGTTACCGTATCAATTAACATAAAACCAACCCTTGGTCTGTACAAAGTAATTTGTCATGGCTGTGTTATAGTAGACTAGTATTTTGTAAAATATAGTCACATTTCAATTATTATACATTACATATGTATATAGATTATTGCTACTTTGAAATAGGTTCTTACACTTATTTTTCTTAAAACATAGAACAGTAACTAAAGATGTAAAGAAAACAATTATCTTCTCTTGTTACGACCTTTGTACTTGGTTGTTAAGCCTTTAAATAATTTGCACGTGGAGGATATGAAACAAAATGTTTTTTAGGGTTCATAAATATATATTGGAATAACTAAAAAATCATAAATTACTACACCAAAACCATAGAATTCCACTACAATTGATCAAGCTCAGTAACTATGATGTATTTTAGTTTAAAAAATACGTAATTTCGAGTAGAACCCTACCTGGTTGAAATATTGGTTCAAAAGAAAGAAATGGCTCCAAGCACATTAAAATGGCTGAAAAAGCCACTAGGGGACATTCTCAGCTTCCAATTGGTTATTCATGTCATATATAAAAGTAAGTGTATATCAGGGAGCAGTTCCAAAAATGAAAAGAGGTAGACAGGGTGCCACTGTGTTTGATGTATTACATGAACAATATCTTAGCAAATTGAAAAGATAAGACCTTCTTATTTTACATTCTAGCTTGACAATATCAGTAATTTGAGTTCCTAATTTGTACAAAACTATAGACTTAGTATTTTGACTTCACAAACATCTAATTTGAACCAGTGCTGCATTCAACATACCACAAAAAACAATGTTTATCTGTGTTTTTTTAATATTTGCTTTTAAATTAAGAAATTGAGT